TAGTTTTTTAATATTTATTTTAGGTTAGATGACAATTTGGTTCCCTAACTTTAAGATTTTGCACAACTTTCATCCCTCAATTTTTTTTTTACACTTTTTTAGTCTATTAACCGTAAAAAATATATTTTTTTAATCATTTCATCAGTTAATTTGTTAAATCTATTTAAATCTATACATTTTTAATCCCTCAACTTTTAATATATGCACATTTTTTATCCCTCAACTTAAAATTAAAGAACTAAAAATGTATATATTTAAATAGATTTAAATAGATTTAATAAATTAACTGATGGAAAACTAAAAAAATATATTTTTTTGTAGTTAATGAACAAAATGGTACAAAAAAAGTTGAAAGATGAAAATTGTGCAAAACCTTAAGTTGAGGGATCAAAATTAGTATTTAACCTTTTATTTTATTTTTTTTTCCTTTCTTTGTAATTAGATTCATTTATGTTCATTCTCGTTTTTATCCCTTTCTCTAGCCCAGCAGATAGCAAATTCAGGGAGAGAGTGAATTCATTTGGAGAAGTACATAAACTCAGGGGATTGAACCGTGGCAGAAATCATTTAATCGTTCAACCTAGTCAGCAGTTGATCATGAAGAGACCATCTGAATATACAAAATATAGCATGTAGAATCTGAGAACATAGATGGACAACTGCAATTTTCAGAATCTACCTTGGTTTAAATAAAAGAGACACCCTCCTTTGAACAGCCTCTTGAATTTGCTCTAATGACATAACTGATCCTTCCATGTAAAAATTAGCTTCTTGCATCTGCTGATGCAACTGCAAGGAAATAAGATTGCATAAACTAACAGACTGTCTCCAAGAAAAAATATGACTAGTTGTCCTTTCAAAGATTAGCAAAGCTTCCGAATCACAAACATGAATTCTAGCAAAGTAACTGTTTATGATATAAATCCAATGGAGGGCACCACTAGAAATCCATGTAACAAGTGGACATACATGCAAATTGATTCAGCCAATATTTGATTAACAAAGTCAGAGAGTGCTTTGGATTGCATGTCTTATGTATGATCCAAATC